CCATGTGGGTGCTGGGAGCTGAACGCAGGTCCTCTGCAAGAGCATCAAGTGCTCTTATCCACGGAGCCATCTCTTGAGCCTCCTCATTAATAAGTCTTACAACAATCTTCAAGTAAACCATAAAGTTCATTTAAACCCCTGTGTCCCATGGAGGGTAGTTATGATGATGATTTGCATGTGATGTGATGTATGGTGTGACAGAGGTGTGCTCTTGGGCCACAAGACAGGAGTGAGGGAAGTGTGTGTCTGCTCAGTTCTTAGATTTCTCTCTGCCATTTGGTTTGAAGATAATATTTGAATGTTCCAGTTCATTTAGGTGATAATTATGAAATAACTGTGTGTCAGCATACTGTTTTTAAGTGGAGAATGTTATTCTGAGGGGCTCTCAAAATGTTTACCAGATGCACTCTTGGGGCAAAACTATTCTGTCATTCCTTTTCCTACTGGCCCTTCCTTGTTTTCTAGCCTTATTCTGAAAATACATGTCCTCCCTGGCTTGTGTTGCTCTTTGTGTGTTTGTGTTTGGAATTTGTTTTTATATTTTGTTAGTGCCTTGGGCTTGTCCAGGAGCTCTAAGGGGAGACAGATGGTGTAACTGTTAGCACCCCCACCTCTTTTATGCCAAGAGTGCTGGATTCCTGGGTGTCATTTAAGGGGGACTTGCATTTTCTAGATTCTAAGCTTAGTGCACAAAAATAAATGAGTGGCTGGTGTAGGAGGGAATAGAAGCCGGTACAATGTATAAATAAAGAACCAAGATGGAGAGATATTAGAAAGCAGAGATGATAGCTGATTAGAGATTGATATTTTTTAAATAAAAAATAGACATGTGTGGGCTGAAGAGATGGCTCAAGAGTTAAGAGCATATACTGATCTTTCAGAGGATCCAAGTTCGGTACCCACCACCTACACTGGATAGCTCACAATTGCCTGAAACTCCAACTGCAGGGGGATCTGATACCTGTGGCCGACACAGGCTCCTGCACTTACATGTGTGCATACTCCTCCATCCCATGTATGATAAAATAATAAAAACCTCTTTTAAAATGCAAGCATACAAAGGGTGATAATGAATGGAAAACTTAGATGAGACTTTACTATTCATTTTACTTAATGGTGTAGCAAAAAGCACCTAATAATTCAAAATGAGAGCTGATGAGGTGGGTCAGTGGGTAAAGGCACTTGCTGTGGAAGCCTGACCTGAGTTGGATCCCAAGACGCACAGTAGAACTGACTCCCAGAAGTCGTCCTGTGACTCCCCTCCCCCCACTTGCTCTGTAGCACAAGCTCATCCCCTCACCTTTCCCTTTCTTCTCAGCCTGTCTCCTTTTTTCATGTCTCCTTCTCTTCCCCCACAATATTAATACATAAAATTTAAGAATTCTGAAGCAACTTTTGTATTGCTACAGAATACCAGTTGGGAAAGGAATGCAGGCATTTGTACACTGTGACAAAGATGTATTTTCTTCAGTCATTCCCTCGGGTTCTGTCTGCTGCTTTCTGGTTTTACATCCCCAGTGGATAAAATATTCCGTCAATTGCTGAATAGCTGAGTGTGATTACCTTCACCTGGTCTTCAAGGACCTTGGTTTGAACACCCCTTTTACTTATTAGTTTATAATTTATCAACTATCCTAATTCATAGTTACGGACAGAAAAATGACTCTGAAGATGACCATTTTCCTGAAGAACTTTGCTTAGTCATCACTCCGCTTTGCATATCATTAACAGTAAAGTTTAAGAGTAAACTTCATCTCACTCTGTGGACGAACTTTCTCATCAGGGCCGCCAGCTCACATGGCAACTCCTTATTAATTATGAAAGCTTGGCCTTCATTTAAGTTTGTTCCTAACTAGTTAAATTAACCCATATTTTAAAATCTGTCCTCTGGCACGTGGTTTGTTATCTCATCTTTCTGCACTGTTCATGCTGCTTCCTCTGCCTGTGCCTGGTCACTCTGCCTCTCTTCTTCCCAGAGTTCTCTGTCTGCCCTGAAGTCCCGCCTATGCCTCCTGCCTTGCTATTGGCTGTCCATCTTTTTATTAACACCAATCATAGCAGTACATTCTTATACAGTGTACAAGAATACTTTCCAATATTGCTCCCTTAGTCTGTATTTAATGAAGTACAGTTGGAGTTACCACCTTTTTCATGTGATTATCCTCTAATTAAGAATGGAATTGTCACTGAATGTGGTGGCATGTCTTTCATCCCAGTACTGGGGAGCAGAGACAGGTAGATCTCTGTGAGCTTGAAGACAGCTGAGCTACATAGAGATACTCTGCTCCCCCCTCAAACCCAAACAACAAAAGTATTTGTCAGAAATGATGAATAGACATATGGAGATGATAGTTAATCAGTTGTAGTAGGCATTGAAGATGTCTATTTGAAAAAGTATTTACTGATGATGTCCATAATGTTTTAAACCCTGAAGAAAAAAAAAAAAAGAGGAAGAAATTTGGCAGTTGTGAGGTTTGTTATTTTAATGATTTTTTTCAGGCTGAGTTTGTATAGAATAAAAATCAGTCTGATCACAGGGCCAGTCAGGGCAGGAATTTTAGATATAGAGGGATTGAAACACACTGGAAGTGGCTATGACCTACACCTTCTAGACTAATGAAATGATTTTCCTCCTCTTTAAATCAAGATTTCCTAAGTAGTGCAGTGCAGCAGGTTTTCTCGGACCTCCAGCCTCCAAACCATGATGTAGAGACTTCTTTTAATCTGTTTCTCTTCATCTACATTTTTGCCTCAGGGCCTTTTACTTTTCTTCTGTATGTCTTACTTTCCTGCTTCCTCTGTGTCTGTCTGGTGCTGGCTGTCTGGCTGGCCCCAGGTGTCCCCCTCTCTTTCTCTCTCATTCTCTCTAGGCCTAGATTCCTCCTTCTACTTATTCTCTTCCTGCCAGACCTGGCTATCCCTCTACTGCCTAGCTATTGGCCATTCAGGTTTTTGTTAGACCAACCAGGTACCTTGGGCAGGCAAGGTAAAACACCAACACATCTTTACATAATGAAACAAATGTAACACATCTTTACATAGTTAAATAAAGGCAACACATCTTTGCATAGTTAAACAAGTATTCCAAAATGTATCATTATGAATAAAGTTGCTATAAATATAGTTGAGCAAGTGACTTTGTGGTATGATTGAGTAGCCTTTGAGCATGTGCCCAAGAGTGGTTCTGAAGTAGATCAATTCCCAATTTTCTGAGAAACTGAGTCAGGCTATTTTTTAAAGTAGGTGTCTACCTTATATTCATCTTGAGTTCTCTACATCCTCATGGCAGGAATGCATTTGGAGGTGGTGTGATCATGTCTAACCCCAGTTCTTTGCACAAATTCAGCCACTTAGCCACCCGTGACTAGAGGAAGTGTGGACAAGTTTGGTGAACGAGTAGTCTGTCTGTGACACCAGTGGGAAGGCCGAGCAAACAGGAACTGTTAAAATCAAGTAGGATAAATACTTCCCATTGAATCCCCAATTGAAACCCTAGAGTTTGTAAGCACTTTTCCATGGTTATTTGATCACAACCTTCCATTACTACTGTTTGACCTTCCTCACAGTGGCTTTCTTTTGAACTACTTACTACCTGCCTGCTGCTCAGGCTGCAGCCTGGGGGAAATTCTGTTCTCCCAGACAATGGTTCTGTTGCTGCCACTGAAGGCAGCTTTAACTAAATCTCTATCATTCTGATAAAACTCAAGATTAAAAAACCTGTGAGCTCAGAGAATTAGAGTAGGAGGAGGAATCTAGGCTCTAGAGAGAATGAGGGAGGAAGAGAAGATGCCTGGGGCCAGGCAGCCAGGCAGCCACCAGACTGATACAGAGGAAGCAGGAAAGTAGGACATACAGAAGAAAAGTAAAAAGCCCTGAGGCAAAAATGTAGATGAAGAGAAACAGGTTAATATAAGCTATAGTATATACTATATATACTATATAATATATAATGGGACAAGTCTAAACTAAGACTGAGCATTCAGAGCTAATAAGAAGGCTCTGTGTCATGATCTGGGGGTCGGGGTCTGAGAGAGCCTGCTGCATTTGTAACCCAGTGTGGGGGTGCCATTTGCAGCTGGAATTTTTATTCAGGAGCTGGTGGTGGCCTTTTCTGTCTCACTCTCCAGAGAAGTGAAAGCTATAGGTGCATGTACCTTGCCTTGAAGCTTATGCAAATTGGCATTAATTAATTAATTTTTAAAACCCTGGCCAGGCAGGGTGGCACATGCCTGCGCTCCCAATATTCAGGAGGCTGAAGAAGTGGGGTAGCAAGTTCCCGGCTGGCCTGGGCTTCCTAGTACCTAATACAACTCTCTTGGAGCAAATAAAACCTAGGGAAGTTTCTGGAAGGAGAAATGAGAACAGTGAGGGGAGTTCAGAATTTTATAGTAAGACAAATAGTGCTTCTCTTTAAAAATTATATAAACATATAACATATAAACATGATATATATTTATTGTTATTATATATTGCTATTTTGTGTGTGCATGTGTGAGATGTATGTATTGAGAGTATAGGTGTGTGTGTGTGTGTGTGTGTGTGTGTGATGTATGTATGGAGAGTAAAGGTGTGTGTGTGTCTGTGATAGAGATGCAGAGGAAGAAAGAGAAGTATTTATTGAGAGTGCAGTTGAGTATGTGTCTGTGTGTGTATGTGTGTGTGAGAGAGATGTATATACTGAGAGTTCAGGTGGGTGAGCTGTGACTTGTTTGTAGAGGTCAGAAGACAGCTTTGGGAAGTTGATATAGGGCCTGGGTATTAAACTCAGACCTGCAGGTTTGCCCAGCAAGTGCTTGTACTCTCTATCTCACTGGCCTAGCCTACTCTTAAGGTGAAATTCAATTAGTGAATTAACAAGAGAGATCCCTGTATAACTTTCTTTAGTCAAAGCTGTCCTGGGAATTTAATTAAGGAGGTGAAGTTTCTACATGACTAAGCAGCTGAATCTGACTGGCTGTTTAGAAACTTGGTAATGTCTTCGCTGTAATTTTTTTTTTCAATCTGGAGAAATAATGGCAATAAAAAGCTGAATTTCATTGTCTCCAACAGTTATTTGTATTTTGCCTGATGACAAAAATCTCCTGAAGGGAGCCACTGCTGTGACCCCAGTTAAACCCAGGTTGAAAGCTTCTGCTTTGGAGATGCTGCCTAAATTAGAGAGAGAGAGAGAGAGAGAGAGAGGAGAGGAGAGAGAGGAGAGAGAGCGCTATTAAATTTTGGGTTTTGTTTAAGATGTATTTATTTTTATTTTATGTGTATGAGTGTCTTGCCTGCATGTATGGAAGGCACCATGTGGAAGCCAGGAGTTGATATTGTATTCCAGGAACTGCAGTTACAGACAGTTGTCAGCCACCATGTGGGTGCTGGGAACTGCTCAGCAAGAGCAGACAGTGTTCTTAACTGCTGAGCCAGCTCTCTAACCCCTACTGGACCATTTTTAAGAAAAATAATTAAGTAAAATGTTGAGAAAGAAAAAAACGAGTAGCTTTCAAATTTTCTTACTTCAAAAGAGCGTATTAGGAGAATGCTTTTGGAGGTGACAGATACATTGATTACTTGACTTTGGTCTCAGAGAGCTATGTCTATTTCCAAATCATTCATATTATAGGTATCACATATTTGCATATTTTGATGTATAAGAAAGCAAAAACAAAAAACAAAAATCATGATCCTCAGATCCCACGGGGGTTGAGCCATGCTAAGGTATACTCAGCTAGAGTTATAGTGGTAGACCTTTGAGGTTAGGTGACAGAGAGGTGTTAGATTTAGAGATTGGGACCTTTTTTTTTTTTTTTTACATTTGAAAACAAACTATTCAGTTAGTCTTAGCAGGAGTGTATTAAGAAGGAAGCACATTTAAATATTTTTACTTTAAAAAATGGTCTGTGTTCAACTATAGCTTTTTCTTATGTTCTGGCCATATTTCTTCTACTCTATTTAGGAAGAAAAAGGTTTTATTTTTGGGAGGGGGGTTTCGAGACAGGGTTTCTCTATGGCTTTGGAGGCTGTCCTGGAACTAGCTCTTGTAGACCAGGCTGGTTCTAATGCCACTAAATGCAAGATTTATAAAGTGCTAGTGCAGAATTTTGAGAACAATTAGTGCAAAGTCAATGAAGGTCCTTAAGCACAAAAGGCTAGTTACAGATCAGCTTCTGCTATTCTGTTTCTTCCCTAGTTCTTCCAAGGAAAGCATGGGAAATCTTCAGCAGGATGACTTTTAAATACTTATAAGCAAGACACAATCTTTATGTACATAGTATTTAGGTTTTATTGTTCTTTATTTTATTTGAAACCCAAATTCTCCCCAATCCATTATTACCATATTCACTTTTTTTTTTTTTTTTTTTGAGACAGGGTTTGTAGTTAGAGGTTTTTCTTCAGCCCATCAGTTCCTGAATAACCACTCAGAGCTTACTGTTAATTATAATTGGCCAGTGGATCAGGCATATTACTGACTAGCACTCACAATTAAATTAACCAGTTACTATTATATTATACTTTATTTTACCATGAGGCTCATGGCTTGTTACCTCACATCTTGCTTCCCCCGACACTACATTGCATCTCTCTGATGCTGACTTTTTTTTTTTCCTTTCCATATCTTTGTTTGGATTTCCCGCCTGGCTTTATTTTGCTTGGCCATTTGCCAAATCAACTTTACTTATCAACCAATAAAAGCAACACATATTGGAAGCATACAGAAGGGCATCTCATATCGTCTCTCCTTTTCTGTCTAATTAAAAAGCGAGGGTTTAACTTTAACATAGTAAAATTAGATATAACAAGTCAGTTATGAAGCAAGAATTATAGTTACAATATTTAGCCTATTTGCATTTGGCAAAATTAAAGAAAATTATCACCTATCTTATCTTTGTGAGTCTAAAGTTTTATATCTAATTTATCTTTTATCACAATTATGGAAAACTATTATTATAACTATCTATCTTCAACTCCATCAAATACCCCAGAAGGATATAATATTAGCTAAGTAAACAGGAAGTGCATTATAAACAATTTCCAAAACTCTAGAAATGACAGAGATATCTGGCTGCCTGGACAGTCACCCGAAGTTTTTTTCTGTAGAGTTGGGGCATCCATCTTCAGCCTATAGGTCCGTAGTATGTGGCAGGGGAGTTTTGAAGATCTGTTTTGCCTTGTATTGGCAAAGTTTGCTAGTTGCTTCCTTCTGTGTCCTGCAGAATGTCTGTCTGACAGTTTCTTCTGTGAAGCAGGAACCCTGAAGGACCATCATGTTTTGTTTTAGAAAGTTCAGCAGTCACTTTTCTGTGGGTCCTGCATGTCCAGTTTATACAGCACACAATCAAGCTGTCCAGGCAAAAGCAGTTTCTTGCCCAAAATGGCTAGTCTTGACACACTGAGATCAAACTCCATAAGGAGCTTCTTCAATGCCTATCATCCTTTAAAAGTAATTGGTGCTGTCAGGAGCAGACATGTCTCACTGCTGAGGAAAGTCTAAATGCCATATTCTGAAGGTGTTTGAAGTGTTTGAGGATTACCTATCCATCTGAAATGTATCTCTGCATATCTAGAAAACCTAACTAGCATGTCTATAAGTTTGACTATTATAGATGACTATTAATTTATATTTCTTAACTATACATTGCATTTTTAGATGAGCTGCATAAACATAATACCTTTAAATAAGAGTAGAAATATACAAATAGCATACCAAAATTTACTTTATATTGTATCAGTAAATCAAAATGCATATCAATGTACAGTATCTTGAGATTAACAGTTGTTTTTTTGATTAAAGTAGATTCAATAATCTACTTTTTTTCATCATTTCTTTTTCCATATCCTCCTTTTTTCTTTAGAGACTATGACCATTAACCATTTATAACTTACCCCTTAAATGAAAACAAACATTTTAAACTATCATTTTGGGAATTGGGATGTAGTTTTCTATACTACTTCCTGCTGATTGGGAGGTGCTGTTAATCTTATGGGGATCCTGACTGGGGTATTTTGTGTGGTTGGTCATCTCAGCCAGAAGTCCTGAAGCTGTCGTGGATGTTGGATCACCTGGTCATTGTTGAAAGGGGTCTTGTTTGATCAAACTGTATTAGCCTGGAAGGAATCCACAGCTTTTCATCTTCTGTGGAAACAAAAGCAGAACCTCTTTTATAAAGCAACATATCCTTAGACCCAAATTTTGAAGTCAAGATACCTTTAAAATATATATGTCGGTTTAGCTTAGCAGCCCGCACAATCAAATGTCTCTGTGTAGTTAGCCCATTAACAGTCAAAAAATTCAAAGGAAACACAATAGTATATAATCCTGTCGACTGCACCAAGCATGAGCAGAGCTAGAGAGAGACCCTTCCCTCCCCCCAAGCTTGTCAGTTGTCACATGGCAGATAAGGCTGCACCCTAAGGCTCGTACCCCAAGGCTATAGGAGGATTGAGTTCCCACAAGGGTCTATATAGTCCTGGTTATCCTAGACCTCACTATGTTGTTGATCAAGCTGGCTTTGAACTCACAGAGATCTGCCTGCCTCTTGTCTCCTGTGTGCCGTCACGCCATCATGCCCAGCTCTTATTAGTTTTGTTATCAACAGTTGTACACAGTTTTACAAAGTAGTAGTATACACCAGGCCCTGTTCACCCAGAGCACAGAAAACCGTGGCTGGTGACACCTATTTGACAACAGATTCTCACACACTCGGTGACATTTGTGGTTCCATCCTAGGCTCTGAAAGTGGGATGTGTGGACATGTCTCCAGAGACTTTTCACAGCTTGCCTTTGCTCATTTGAAGCTGAAGATTTTATAATTTTATTGCCAGGCTCATGTTTTTCAGTTTCATAGATGACTGATTCATTTTTACCAGGTTTCAAATTCAGCAAGGTGCTGGCCTGTGTATAGGTGTGTGTGTGCGCGCGCACGTGTGCGTGTGTGCATGTGTCCATGCTTGTACAGTTAGTTGACTTTCTTATTTGAGTGGTTAAGCACCAATCTTTTGCCCCTTTCACATCCCCAGGATGGCCTGCAGCTCACTACCTAGACCAGGCTAAACTCTGACAGTGCTCCTGCCTTAGTGTCCTGAACTCTAAAATTCCTACTACATCAGGCTACCACCAGTTTTCTTCAGTTTCCCTTCAAGTGTCTTTTTAGCTGCTAAAGACAGGTTTCTTGAGTGTCTAACCTGCAGAGGTAGTAGGATGAGCCCTAGTCTGCGAGTGTCCTTTGAAGTTGGCCCACCACCAGGATTTATGACCTGCTTTCTGGCTTAAGCCTTATCTCCTTCCTTTGCCTGCTAGTGCTGCACTTCTTTCTTCTGGACAGACTCCCATGTATGTCTGTATACCACATGTATGTAGTACTGGCAGAGCCAGAAGGTGGTGTCTGGCCTGCTGGAACTGGAGTTACAGATAATTGTAAGCCATTATTTGGGTGTTGGGACCAGAGCCTGGGTCTTCTGCGAGAGCAGCCAGCACTCTCTGGCATCAGTTGTGGAGTTTTATCATGTTAATATCACTTGGTTGCAGGTCGGATTTCTCATAGCATTTTCTGACATTTTCTTTATCATCACTACTTTTGGAGGTCCCAGTGGGTGGTTACTGGACCTTAGTGATTTTACCATGGCAGGGCAGAACATGGTAGTGCATGAGGGAGCCAGGCTACCCATTTCATGGCTTCACCAACTCTTTAGTTGGGGTGGTTTTGGTTGTATTGTTAAGAGCTTAACCCAAACCAGGTAGTTTGTATTTTCAGCAGTTTGTTTTTGAGTAGTTTTGTTATTTATTTATTTATTTATTTATTTATTTATTTATTGTGTATGTGTTTATAGTGGATGTGTAGAGGAAAACTTTCAGAAGTCATTTTTGTTCACCAGTCATGTAGGTTCTGGGAATTCAAGTCAGATTGTCAGGCTTGGTAGCCAATACCTTGACCTGCTGAACCACCTCACTGACCCTAGTTTTGTGATTTTTGAGAGACTTAGCTAAGGGTTTTGGCTTGTGCCTGTAATCCCATATGAAGCTAAAATGAGAGGATTAAAAAGAAAATGTTGGTACCCATATGAGAGAGCCAACATTTTAGAACGTTTCCAATCAGCTTCGCTAAGTACAAACAGAAAGAAGCCTTG